TTACTGCACAGTAACCGTTTTATTTAGAGTCAAACGGGTCTTGATTTCATAGAAGTTGTGCCACTCGTTAACCACATCAATGTGGGCAAATCATTTAGCCTCTCTGAGCCTCTGCCTCTTATCTAGAGAATGGGAATACTATAAGACATCACAGGGCCATTGTGAGAATGAAATAAGATAAGCGCAAAGCGGCTTTTTCAGAAACAAACGAGGGTTTTCAATAACAGCTGGTTTCTTCCATTTTATCCAAATATCAAGTGCAACACAGGTTCCCATGCCTCAAAAATATCTTTGTATAATATATCTCAACTCCTTGAAAATGTTACAGTATATTTTTAAGTCAATAAATTTAGAAGGACAGCACTTGTAGATTTTTTACTCTTTCTTAGTCCAAATTGAAGAAAATTATTCCTCTTCTGAATATACTACTCAGAATCTATATAATAGCTCTTGTTTATTCTATCTCCTGGTGGCTGATTTCTAAGAAAATATTAGTTGAAACACTAATCCACAAGATGAATTATATTAAGAACATCCTGATGAACGTCATAGAGTAGATAATCAAATCAGTTCTAAACATCCCTCCTGATTTTGAAGTGAAACAAAAATGAACAAATTGTAATCATTTTAACTTTCAGGTTCTCATGGCGTTGGCCCCTATCATCCCTTTATAAAAAGCAACAAAGAAACAAATATGCTCTCATCAAAATAGTCTCTGTTCTCTTTATAGGTAGTTATGGATAGGTGAATAGATGGATGTAGATGACAGATGGAGATGGAGAGAGATAGATGAGAGTGGTAGGTAAGAATGGCGAGAGGATAAATGACTAGGATGATTGGATGGGTAAGCGGAAGGATGGATGCGTTGGAGAATGGACAAGTAGAGGAATGGAATTCAGGCAAATGTAGATGACAAAGTGCTAAGCAGACACATAGAAATGCAAAAAGAAAAGCAAAGGACAAATCCATAACAAAAAGATCAATCTCGAGACTGAAACACTAGTACAATTCCCTCTCCTAGACTATTGCTCTTTAAATTTCCATTTTAAAAAATATACAAAGGTCTCTCTTCATTATTATATCATTACATTCAAAAATGTGATAACTATAGTATTATGAATATGCCCAGCAAAAAAAAAAAAAGACCCTGTGAGCAAAACAAATTTATCACATCCTCCTGATAAGACAAAATTAAAAGCCTTCCAGAAGGCATGAGACAACTTATCTAATGCAATACGTTTATGAGACTATCCATACTATTTTTCAATGTTTCTCTGATGAATGTTATGTTAATTAAGAGAACTTGACCTATTAGATTTTTTAGTCACGATTTTCTCTAAATTAACAATTCTATAGGTCCAACTTTACCTTTACTGAGATCTTAACTAAAAATACTGCTAATCTCCAGTCTAACACATATTAATTCAGAATGAAATGAAATGTCAAATTTTTCTACTACAAAAACAATGCCAAGTGCCCCTGCCTTGTGTTAAAGCAAATTCTTTTCTTGGTAAACAGTCTGCACTTAATAATGGAAACAGTAGTCAAATATATCACAATATATGCAAATACATCACCTGCATAATGCAACATTATACAGTAATTAAAATGTGTACTTTTAAAGAATGGTTAATGACATGGGAAAATGTTTACAATGTTATGTAAAGAAAACATGTAAAACTAGGTATATATAAAATAATCCCCTTTAAAAAAAAAGAATAGAGTGGTTATACATGTAAACAGCAGTTATCTCTGGATGATGGGTTATGGGCGTATTAATTTTCTTCTTTATATTTTTGTGCATTTTAATTTTCTAAAATAGGTGTATATAACTTTTATAATCAAAAAAGAAAGGTTTATTTTGTTTTAGAAAAAATGCCAGAACTATGTTAAAAGGTTTTTATTTTTTCATTTACAGAGTATTTTCATATGCATAAGCTCATCTGATCTAGTTAACAACCCAGAAATATGAGTTCAAGGATCCCCGCTGACAGTCAGGCAGTCAAGTTTATAGAGCAGAATGAGACAGAGTAGACCTTTCTCAAGGTTTCCTGGTGCCCTATTGCCTTCTTTATAGTATCCATTGATTTATCTCAGGAAAAGTTTTGTTTTTTCGGGTTTTTTTCTTAAGGTTCTCCAAAACTGTTTTGCTTTCCTTCCACTCCAAAGTATCAACATTCTACTTAAAGAAAAATAAAAATAAATAAAAATAAAAAACTGCGATATATAAGAGTACCTGGGCCCCCTAACATCTTGCCCCACTGTGGGAGGGGAAGACGCCCTTCAAGAATGACTGCTTTCATAAACGTATAAATCCAATTCACAAGACCAGTCCAATCTATTAAGGGGATGTCCAGGCACAATTTAAAGAAAAGACACAGTCTGACCTACATAAGAAAATCAGAGACAAAGATTTGAAAGCTGCTTAAGACGGCAGAATGCCGCGGGAGGTTTAGAGTCAGTATCGAAGAAGTACCACAGCTCAAATCTAGCTGGTCTTGGAATGACTCACAAGTGCTGCTGTGCCGTCTTCCTGCCATTCATCAGACAGGTTTTTCCATTAGAATTTACTGACGATGTGCTCCCTGGTAAGATGGCAAGATCAATTCTGCAGTTTTAAAATAGGAAAGATATGACTGAGAAGTCATAACACTGATTCCACATAGTACACTCAAAAAAGCCCAGGGTGAGTATAATGACGGTTGAGGGAAGGCTAGCCTCCATTTCACCTCTGCCAGTGAGTAAACTCACCACATTTAGTATGTTCTGTGTTTTATACAAAGAGTTAACTGATTCTAACAAAATGTGGTATGTTACTAAAGGTATGAGACAATTATCATGTAGGGAGTTTATGTAGGAAAAGGGTAAATATGCTTAAGGTTTGGAGGTAAGAAAAGAAGTTCAGTCTTTGTTGAAAGGCTGGAATCTATAGAATAAGACAGAGCCTCATACTTGGCCTTGCCTTTAGTGGAGCTGAGCTAAGAACTCCTACCCTTCGTCCCAGCTCCTGTGAAAACTTATAAAACAAAATGGATAGCACATTCACGTAGGAACAACAGAATTATCACTGGGCAGAATAAACATTCATTATGGGAATGAGCCTGAGGTATAAAAGAAGCAGACGGTCAGGACACCAGAGCCTTTCTTTCCTTGTAGAATCATATAGTTTCCTCTCCAGCTGAGACCACACCCTTTTTGAGAACTACTCACTCTTTTCACACCCTGAGTGCCTCTCTCATCCTGGAACCACTGGATTAAATTCTTTTTTAAAAGCTTTTACTCTAAGCACTTCACAGCATAAGTAAAATGGGAACAGTAGATTTTAAACAAGGTGCCCATCAGAATTAAATAAAAAAAGGTTTTTGAGATGCAAATGCCCAGAGTGACGATGAAAAATTTAGGGATGCAGACTGAAAATCTGAATTCTGATAAAAGTTCCCTAAGGAAAGATGATCCACAAACTCAGGTGAAAACTATTGCTGTTTGGAGCCACCATCACCATGGGTACTCAAGAGAACCAAAGGTAAAGAAAGCAATGGGGTACCTGGGCTAGTGTCTCCAAGAGGAATAAGAGGCCAGCAAGTCACATGTGTTCCTGGCAAACAAAGAGAGGAAAGGAAGACCAGAGGATGACCAGGGTAACAGAGAGCTGTCCCCAGGGCAACAGAAAGCTGCCCCCAAACGAAGAGCAGTGTGATCTGTCAAATGTCTCCAGAAAAAAGGAAATAACTCAGGAACCCTGGAGTGAGGTAAACGAAAATTTGGTTAGGATTTGGGATTGTAGAGATGTGTTTGCAGAAGTACTTACCTTAGGAAGGCTAATTAATCAATCTCTACAATATATTCAGTTTATTATCTTGAAAAAGATGACAGTAAGTGAAAGCAAATGAGCAAACCATCTGCATATTGCTTTCAATATTGTTGAAACAACAAGGCAGAGAGCTTAGCTAATTACACCTCCCTGATTCCTCTGTATGTCAAAACCTAGTCTAATTCAGTGGCCTTGTGAAAACCTATAAATAAATCCTACTGATTCACTTCAAAATAAAATCCCCAAAATAAAACAAAGAATTAAGCTGGCTAATGAAAACTAGTCCAAGTATCCTTGAATAATGATCTTTATATTTGTGTACTGTTTCTTCATCTGTAAAATGGGAATAACAGACTTTTCTCGGCTATATATAAGAAATAATACCCTAAGGAGCTGTTAAAGAACGAAATACCTAGCTCTAATTGCCAAATAAACTATTGACTTGCATTTTTTAAATCTAATATACATTCTTTTGTTTCCTATAAGCAACGTATAGTTCCTAATTTGTATCATCAGTCTATTTATCTAATTCCTGATTGGCAAAAATCCCTTCTGATTTATCACAAATTCCAAAAATGAAATTTACCTATTCAACTGGACTCTCCCACTTCTGCTATCATTATGGAATTTATGTCTTTATCCCATGGATTTCTTTATCCCATGACATTCTCTTAACAGAAGTCTGGGAGGGCAGCAAAGAGTCTGATATTCAAGTGTGATGTCTGAAGTTTAACACCGAGGAGTGGTTGTAATTTCTGAAATGGTGGTTGATTCTTACACCACAGACCTTTACAGCATTACACAAGACCTGTTTATTCCAGTTTGAGTTATTTAGTGTACATTCAATTGTTGTTTCCTAAGTAGATTAACTATCCCAAATTACACACTGAATTACGTCGTCCCTGCTCAGAAAACTGTCCCTCACTTGCACAACAATACGGCCCTGTCTTACCTTCCAGCCTTCTCATTTTTTCCCTAAGAAATTCTGTTGGGATTTGGTTGAGAAATGGGGGAAAGTCTCCTGGTCATGGCAGAACATTACTTTCTCCTTTGCTTTTTTGCTTTTTTCATGTTGGCCTCCATCCATTCCCCTTGTCTACAAGGGAGGAGGAAGTCACCCAATTATTGAGTTTGGAGAAGAAACTAAGTATATGCAACTCCTCCCTTTCCTCCCAGGCTTGAGACTTACCTGAAGGCTGAAAGCATATACTCAGTCCTTGCTGCCCAAAGTAAGCTGTCATAAGCAGGAGTTATCTGAGAGGAAGAGGGTCACTAATTCAGAAATGTTGCGTTAGCAAGCCCACTAAGCTAACAGACATAAAGCCCATTCTACAACTGAGTCTTTATCTCCAGCTGCCTGACTGCTGTGTTACCTTCAACTGATTTCTAGATGGGTACAAAAAAATGGGAGGCAGAACAGCAGACAGAGTGGGGCCTAGAGCTTAGGGGCCAAAACGGAGGCTCAATTAGCCCTCCAAGACTGAACCTATCATCTCCTCTAACCACACTGAATTCACCTTGCAACTGGCTGCATCTGGGCCTCTGCCTTCGTTCATATCCTTTGTTCATCCTCAAACTCCCTTCCCAACCCCTTACCTCATTCACCCTACTCTGACCTCCAGGCCAAGATCACCTAGCCTTCTCAAATGTAGCCAACCTCAGGAATCTCTCCATTTTCTGAATCTTCACTTCATTCTCTCTTCCAAGCTGTTGGTCACTCTGTAATGACACAGACATTTTTAATCTCTAGGAGAATCTAAGTTCCTTTATTGTCAAGGACTGGAAACATCATGTAAGCGAAAGAAGACAGTCACAAAAGACAACATGTTATATGATTTCATTTTATATGAAAGTCCACAACAGGTAAATCCGTAGTCTATAGAGATGGAAAGTAGATTAATGGTTGCTATTAACGCCCTCTTCCTCAACCCTACTTCATTGGCATAAGTTAACTAAAATTGACTGATAGCTTCTTACATATCAGGCAAGAAACTAAGAGTATTATATTTATTATCTTGTTTAATCCTCCTTAGGAAGTAGGTATGGTTATCATTCTCTAGAAGAAACAGGGTCTGTGTTCAGAAAGGCCCACCATTCCAAGAAGATCTTGCCGACTCTGGTGTAACTATGGGGATGCTTGTAGACTTGAGGGAGAACAACGGACAGGGATGGGAAGTAAGATTCAGGGGGACTAAGTTTAGTTAAAAACTGAGAGTTCCACCTTCACTGCCTTGACCTTCACCTACACTGCCCCTGGGTTTAAGGAGAAAAAGAATTCTCACTTTAAAAAAAAGAAGAAGCAGAAGAAGAAGCAAAAGGAAGATGAGAAAATAAAAGTCCATATGGGCACAGTTCCAAAAAAGGCCTAATTGCTCAATGTGAACAAGTCTCCCCAGTCTCAATCCTTGCTCTGAAAACAGAGGTCTGGATAACTGTGGTTTTGTCACTAGATGAATAACAAGCCCCAAGGATTGCTAGGATTACAAGGCCCGGACCAGATCCACTCAAATATAGCTGGAAGCTTTCTAGTAACTCTAACCGTGCATGGGGAATGAGCTGCTCAGAGAAGTGAGTCACTTACTGGAATCCTTGCTGCCTGCATTACTCAGCTGATATTAATACACCCACTTGTTCATTAAAGTTTAATTGGAGTTCACATGAATTGGTTTCACTGGATACTTAATCAAAGAGAGATGTTTGTGTATGAACTGTTCATATACAAAGCTAGAAAGTGCAATGTCCCATTCAGCCTCTACACACATCCGCTGTCTGCTCTTCTAACTCTGTTGACACAATAACTTAGTCACAGAGAGTGGGACAATGATCTTGAAGGAGGAGGGAGAAAAGCTGTCCAGACAAACACAAGAGTAGATGAAAAATCCTCTGTGTGGCAATAGCCACCGTTTCCTAACTCATCAGCTAGAGCCTAAAATCAGCCAGGACTTAAAGCCCAGCGCCTAAATAGGAACTGGTTCCTTTCTGGGGTTCGTTATCAAAGCTGCAGGCCTCCTTTTTCCCCTGAGCACCTGTCTTACAGCCGTACATCTTTATTTTTAAAATGGGTGGATAAGGAAATTAACCATCATTCAACATAATCATACATTTCTCTTGTACTGACAAGCAAACCAGGAACACAACCCCAAACGCCTATTTATACAATCAGGGCTGTCAGTACCCTGTTATTTCTTATCGAGTATCTCACTAATCAACATTTCTGGAAGTATAAAATCTTAAAGCTCTGAAAATCTTGTGCATGAAGTTGAGGGGAAATAGATTTCAAGTTTGGTAGCTGTGGTTGTCAATTTTTCCTTAGGTATGGTCATCACTGTTAAGTACCTATGACTTGTAGGCTAAAAACAAAATAAAGTGAGTTTAAAACTTGAAGCTATACACTATATGCTTCACTGAAGCACCACCTCTCAGAACTCGCAGATCGAAAGGCAGTCTACTTATTTTTTACCGGCTTTATTGAGATATAATTCACACACAATGCAATTCACCCATAGGAAGTCTACAATTCCATTTTTAGTATATTCACAGAGTTGCACAAACATTGCCACAATCTACTTAAGAGCACGTCTGTTGCCCCAGAAAGAAACCCATACCCATTAGCAGTCACTCTAATCACTCCCTATCCCCCACCCATCCCCTGGCAGCAACCACTAATCTACTTTATGCCTCTACAGACTCTATGGATTTGCCTATTTTGGACTTTCATGTAAAATGGAATCATATATGTTGTCTTTTGTGAATGGCTTCTTTCACTACACAATGTTTTCAAGATTCATTCATGTTGTAGTATATATCAGTACCTTATTCCTCTTTATTGCTGAATAATAATCTTTTTGGGGTGAGGAGCAGTGATGTACCACATTTTGTTTATCCATTCAGCAATCTACCTTATCTACCTTTTAAAAACAAAATAGACTCCCATCTACTAAAGAAGAGCAAATTACCTATTATTCGGTTTGACAGATAACGTGTTTATCTTCTCAATGGCCCATTCATGACTACACCATCACACACGTGAAGAAAGTGAGGCTATGTTAGGGAATTCTCAAAAGTGGGAAGAGGTGGCAGAGCCTGTAGCCCAAGCCATTTTAAAGTTAAAACTCATCGGGATGATCCATCTGTGCACTGTTTCACAGTTTATGAAGTGCTGCCACTGACGTGATATAGCTAGACTGTGGCTCCCTAAGGAAGGAACTATATGGTGTTTCATCTCTGACTTCCTCAAGGTGCCGAGCATAGCCTGGAATGCACTGAAGGAGCAACACTCACTACAATCCCTCTCTCAAGGAAAACAATTTTTATCAGCTTCTTAAGATATGATCCAACTACTTAGTAACAAGCATCTACTGTGTGCCAGGGACCATCATGGTGATTGATAAGACATAACACCTGCCCTACAGGAGTTCAAATTCTAGCAGAAAAGACCAAACTAATACATATAGGACAAATCATGGCATGTTAAACAAAACTATTTGACAGAGACTCAGAGAAGGGAATCCTCAGCTTCTTACATCTCACTTGCCATGCTAGTGATTGTTTGTAAAGTAGGAGCTAATTATTACATAACAAACATAGATAGGTCAGAGACATTCATGGAAACAGAATTCATAGCTATATGTGCCCTGAAAAAGTACAACTAATCTGTATCTGGGGCGTGAATGAGGGCCGATTTCAGCACCCACATCAGTAACATCACCAGATGATGTAGACCAAAAAAAGAAACTATCAAAGATAAAAAGTCAAGGGGGTCATCTGTCCAAAACACTTTCTGCCTCCTTTTCAAGACACTGTCAGGAAGCTGGCAATTCAGTCTGAAGTTGTCACCTAAGAAACCATGAGGTGCAAAGTGAAGAAATAGGCTTCCAAAATACATGTAACCTAACCCATACTCTGGTACATGAGACTAATAATATAGCACTGGGCTTATGTGGTGCCATGTGTCTGAGACACTCAAAGATATTTGCCAAAGAGAATTCAGACCTTCCCACCTGCTCACCTAACCACCACCCCCAGCAAGCACAGCGTTGACTCCCAATCATAAGACCCTCCAGAGCATCTTCCATTCCTCTGTTCTGTATTCTGAGCACACACCGAGCTGCCAGATAAAGGCACCTGGCAATCAAAACTGGAAGTCCAATTCATGCTTCTGGTTTGGGGGAGTTTATGAATATATACTGCCCTTGGATCCAACTGATGAAACAGATTAGGTTTTCATGCAAACCAAGAACAACGTACACACTTAATGAGAACTTTCACTTAAAATTTCTGCCAGCATAAACACTCCGTAATACATCCATCCGGTCTATGTTTCAGTACAAGTGTTCTTTTTTATATTCCTACAGCAAGTTCGTACATCCTGTTTCCTAATTACCTCATGCAAAGAAGGAATTTTACCTTCACCTCTCCTATTCATTAAAGCAAATTTCAGGAAATACTTTGACATTTGATTTTTTGAGAAACACATGCTGGTATAACAGAAAGTCCTAGAGATTCATTGTTATTTATACTTGGGAAGAGACAGGTTAATACCAAATCATAGTTAAGTTTTTAACTAATGGAAAATAAAGGCAAGCATTTTTAGATTTATTACAACTCTGTATAACCTGGGTAGCTTTTGGTAAGAATGACCTCATTACAGTCAAATCAGGGCGATGAAGCAGAAAGTACCCCAGTGGTAAAGGTTCTGGGTTTGCTTCCATCACTGCTTAAAAAAAACTCACTTCATCTCTCTAAATCTAAGTTACCTCATCTCTAAAAGGGAAATGAGAAGCTCTGCCTCACCTACCTTAGAGGAATACCATAAGATGCACATAAAAAAGAAAAATGTGTGTTTAAGTGCTTTGAAAACCACAAAGCCCCATATACAATGTAAGGTATTACCTTAATGTCTTTCACTATAAAGACATTTTTAAATGACATGAACAAACACTTTTGCCTTTCTGTTTCTATTTTGAATAAACCAAAGAAACACCCCAAAAATCAATACTACCAATTCCAGGAAGTTACACACACACACACACACACACACACACACGCACACACACTCACACACTCATACACACAAATTTCGTCAAGATAATTGTTGTTTAGGACAATAAGCCCCAGAAAAAGCACAAGATCCCAAAGAATCTTTCATCTTAAAGCTATCCTCAGCAGCACAACTTTAAAAAGTGTATTCCTATATTTTGAAATTGTGTAAAATGTATGTTAGAGTGCATTATCTTTCAAAAATTGATATGTCAAAACTCCCACCTACTTCCTTCTGGTGCAGGAGAAATGGTCCTAGGCATAGGTGGCCTCAGGACATCAATACCTTCCAGAGAGAAGGAAAATGGGAGACAGATCTGAGGACAGGACCCAGGCACATGCAGACTGAGAGAAGACAACCTAAATGACAGAAAATATTCCACCCTACAGGTTGTCTTTGACCAGCAAACTGACCCTCAGTAGTCACATGGCAACTCTCCATGAACAAACTTTTCAAGGATATGGATCCATCCACTCTGTAAGCACAGTCTATCACCTAAAGTTTTCTCTCTCAACTATCATCTGCATAGAAGCAATGATCAAGGATGGAGAAACCAAGGACTTTGTCAAAGTCATTAGTAGCTGTGCAAATGCAGCTCCTATGGCCCAGGCTAAACTGGTTCACTGTCCTTGAGTGAACAGGCCAGGGTCCTAAAACAGTCCTAAACTGTTCACTTTCT